TTAGTACTTGTAGTCTAATAGTTAGCCACTGTTTACTGTACACTGTCTGAGTCTAATGTTAGCACTATTTTACTGTACACTGCTGAGTCTAATGTTAGCACTGTTTTACTGTACACTGTTTTATTGTACACTGTTGAGTCTAATGTTTGCACTGTTTTAATGTACACTGCTGAGTCTAATGTTAGCACTGTTTTACTGTACACTGCTGAGTCTAATGTTAGCACTATTTTACTGTACACTGTTGAGTCTAATGTTAGCACTGTTTTACTGTACACTGCTGAGTCTAATGTTAGCACTGTTTTACTGTACACTGCTGAGTCTAATGTTAGCACTGTTTTATTGTACACTGCTGAGTCTAATGTTAGCACTGTTTTATTGTACACTGCTGAGTCTAATGTTAGCACTGTTTTATTGTACACGGCTGAGTCTAATGTTAGCACTGTTTTATTGTACACTGCTGAGTCTAATGTTAGCACTGTTTTATTGTACACGGCTGAGTCTAATGTTGGCACTGTTTTATTGGTTATTTGCACAGTAATTTTGATCTGATAGAACAGAATTCCATAAACTTTAGTAAACATATGATCTGGACAGAATTAAGAATGCGCTAAGCTATCATTTTCCTGCTAACTGAGATGATTAGATATCTAACTAATGAAGCAGACAGTTTAATGTGCTATAATACATAAAGGTTTAAGAAAATAAAGTATCAAGCTGCTGAATTTGAGTGTGCCACTTTATACGAGACAGTGCTCAGGCAGCATTCTAGTGCTTGTTTCTTACACTCGGAGCGTTACGAGTTACATGAGATTTACTTTACCGATAAATGTAGGCCAACGAATTTTATTCTAATATTCAACTCTGTCAGAAAATCAAACCGATTCGGAAGTAACCTGCAACAAAAACAACAGAGTCTGGCCATTTTAAACACCATTTTACATACAACTACTAAATCACTTTTTTTTTTTTACAAACTCACAAAGTTAAGACACTCACTATAAACCAGTAACAACATGATCTGAATGAAAATACTCTTTAACAACTAGCCATAAATGCAACATTTCATGATATGATAGCCTGACCAATGGATAAGCCAAAACTTTCTGACCACTGCACTAGTCAGTATCTGATTACAAAAAGCCACGATCACAGAGACAAATACTATATTACGTTTTAAAACTTGTCGGTTGTTTGTAACTGGAAAGTAAGAATACGATACAAGAAAAAGCAGAGGAAATTAAAAACAAAAATATCACTTCAAGGAAAACAGTACATGGAACTCAGTAGGAACAGTTGCTTAGCTGTTCTGTGGAAAACATCTGAAAATATGATGTGTAACTTAGAGACAGTCAAAATATTAATATGGAAGCTATTTACAGAACAGGATTAGCTGGCAGGAGAATGGGAAGTTATAGAACTGGATTAGCTGGCAGGAGAATGGGAAGTTAGAGAACTGGATTAGCTGGCAGGAGAATGGGAAGTTACAGAACAGGATTAGCTGGCAGGAGAATGGGAAGTTATAGAACAGGATTAGCTGGCAGGAGAATGGGAAGTTATAGAACTGGATTAGCTGGCAGGAGAATGGGAAGTTACAGAACAGGATTAGTTAACAGGAGAATGGGAAGTTATAGAACTGGATTAGCTGGCAGGAGAATGGGAAGTTATAGAACTGGATTAGTTAACAGGAGAATGGGAAGTTATAGAACTGGATTAGTTAACAGGAGAATGGGAAGTTAT